TTTGTTATGTACATAAATTAATATGGGTGTATGTGTATATGTGGAGGCTGAGAATCGTCTTCTTCTTCGAGAGATAATAGTATTTTCTAGTAGTTAAAGAAATGATGAATTTTTGAAGATATGGGAGGCTTTTTCTATGGGCATGGACTTTGGGAAAAAAGAGTAATTCTCAAAAGTTCCCATGAAGATACATGTTTTGTGTCTTTTACCTTTCATGTAAAAATTCATCTCTTTATTCATGTAACTTTTAGTGAGCACTGTCTTGTAACTTCCTGAATTTACCGAATTGGTGAGTTCGTAATCATATCTTGCACAACCTTGCATTTCTACCTTCTCTTCAGGTGCGATCGCGTTCTTTCTTTTGGGAAGGGTATAAAGCTGTTAAGCTATAGGAGAAGTGAGCTTAAACTATCTGATCATCGACCTGTGACTGCCTCTTATATGGTGGAAGTTGAAGTATTTTCTCCTAAGAAGTTGCAGCGGGCACTCACTTTCACTGATGCAGAAATTGAAGAAGAGGACATTGTAATGGATGGAAATTGGAAGTGATTTGATTCAGGGAAGATCAGGATAGGTGAGTACTGTACCTACATAGTATAGTGTTACAATTTCCCAAATTCGTGCAAATATTCCCTTCTCCTATAGTTTAGTTACGGAATGATGTGACGTCAGTTAAAAATTTTATGGCATGTTTATAAGGTGGATTAGATAGCATTAGACACTATTAGAAGAAAAAACTAAGCTAGAATGTTATTCCTTATATTCTCTAGTTACTGATTTCCATGTGTAGCCGATGATCATTTAGCATCAAACCCCAAAACTTAATGCACGTCTTCATTGGCATTGCATATCACCGTTACTTAATTTCTCTTCGCAAAGTTTGTGTCGCACCGGATACTTTACTGATACAGTATGGATCTTTTCAGCAGCCTTGGGAATGCTAACCTGTGGAAAATGAGGGAGATCCTGCAAGCGAGAACATTCCCTATGACATTCAGAGGAGGACGAAGATATGAGCGAGCATCCATGACTTGTGGAGCTCCTGGGATCATTTCCTAGTGATGCATTCTTTTGATTCTTTAATGCACAGTGATTGAGCTTGTACATGAAATGGTTAGTTTGTCAATGTCTTTGATTTACATTCTTATCTTCTCTTCCATTTTTGCATGTCGTTTATTGTAATATATTATCTTTTGAAGGCATTTTAGTGATAATCAGTAGTTTTCTATTGAAGTTACACAATGATTTGAATTCTTTTGTTTCTTTATTTGCAAGTTACAAGTTTTTCACTCTCTTTGAAAAATCTATCTTTAGTTTATAATTTGTTATATTAGAAAAAAAAAAAAAAAGTGCTACATTTCATTCATAGTAACTCTCTATGCAACTATATAAGCAAGAAGAACTTAGGTTCGTAGTTTTATTTTCCTTTTATTGATTTAAAGAAAACTTGCATTTTGAAGAGTTGATTTAACTTATGTCGCATGTTATTAATTTAACAATTCATATATGGTTGAAATTATAAGTAATAATATAACCAAATTACTATAAGCTAAAAATATAATTATAATTTAAATAATTTAGAAAATTATTTTTCTTTTAATTTTTTTTTTCACGATTAAATCTCTAAATTTATAGGTATATTTGGTTTAAATAATGTTGGGAGAAAAAAACAATCTTCTAAGCATTGTTGTTTAAATGTCATGAAATAGAAAATTATTTCCAATTTAAAAAAAAATGAAGAAGAAGAAACTTCGGATATAATCCACAAAAAATCCTTTTTATATCTAGAATGATAGTAATATTATGAAAGCTCAAACGATAAGTATCACATAGCTATTTAAACTTGTCATTTTCCATTAAGAAAAGAATTAAACATTGCGTTAATTCATGACAAGAATTCTCTCTAAATAAAATATGTATATATATGAAAGAAAGGAAAAAAAATAAAATCTCTTTTTTCAATTCTAATCGTTCATATCAAATAGGACAATAGTGATGTCTAGCAAAAAATATAATTTGAAAAATATTGAAAGACGTACAATAGTTGAAAATACTAACATTCAGTTACTTTTTTTTTTTTTTTTTTTTTTTACTGAAAAGTCATATTGTCTTCCTATCAAAACTTATCTGAAAATATAGTGCCCCTGTTTGGAGCACATTATTATTTCATTTGTAGAAATATTTGGACCGTTTGAACTGACAAACGCACAGTGGTCCGTCCTTCATCCTGACACAACGTGACAAGAGGCTATTCTTTTCTTTTGCCTTTTTTACCCCCGACCTACGAACAACCCAATCATCCACAAATTCACCTTCAAACTCTGCAAATGGGCAAGGACAGAAGTGAAAAATGGCAAGAAAATCTTTAATGTTGCACAGTGAAAGTCAGCACGCCAGGTCCCAAATAACTACATCATGGTACGGTGCAACGGTCTGAGATTTTCTAAAATAATCGAAAATGTGCACCAAAGAGTGGCTATATATATTCAATATTTTGAAAATTGGTAAATTTTAATTTTGATTAGAAATAATATTTTTTTACTATCAAATATATGTTGGGTAAATGGACCTTGGTACCATATTGAATTTGGGCTAACTTTGTTTAGTCCAGTTCTTTTAGGCCTAAAATCTATAAAAGCCCATCCCGTCCAGCAAATCAGGCGGTGGCAAATAATCTGATATTTCTCAAGAACAAAGTGTGTATTAGCAGGGAATAGAAATTTTGTATTGAATGTTTGTTTCAACTTTCAAAGAGCTCGAGCTGTGTTATCCGTAAGTATTTGTAACTCATTAGTTTTGCTCTCAGATTTCTCTTTTCTCAATGAATTTGTGTTACTACCACTAATGAATATTTCGGATCACAACCACTAATGAATATTTCGGAAACAAGCTGCCAAATCAATTTTCTTTGTTAATAATGTTCAAAACTTTTACTCGTTTTCTACCTAGGATATTTAATCTGTTTTTGTATTTTGGAATTCTAATTCTGAACGTTTGATTATAAACTTTACTTTAATAAAATTATTGTTTGTTTTTTTTTTTTTTTAATTTCTCAGGATGCTTAGTTTGAGATACTCTCCAGCAATTTTCACTGAAAAATTGGAATCTGTTGAAATTTTCAGGAACATTAATCGGAATATTGTGGTAAGGTTTTATGTTCATAAAACAAATTTATTTTCTCTTTTATTTTCCTAACAAGTTAGGAATTTATGGGTCTTTATCCCAAAATTCAATGTGAATAGTATGGTGTTTTAATATTTTACATTGGAGTAATTTTGGTAAATTAAGGATTTGATTCATTTGTATTTCTGGTTCTCTAAGATTTTCTGGAAACTTGAGTGGTTTTCAAAAAACATGCGATTGTTCAGAAACTGCTATTAGGCACGTAACTTTCGAACAACAAATAAATTCTATTGCTGGGCTCTTTAAAATTCGATCTGGATTTGATTTGTATTTTCATTCAGAGACCAGAAGGGGAAAAAATGGAAATTCCATTTTTTTCTCCTTCTTTGGGGGAAAGCCCTTTTATCTGCTTTTTGGGCAGACAGATTTGGTATTCATGGTGAGTTCGGGTTGGGGGTAGGACCAATTTTAAAGACTTTACAAAGATTAATCTCTGAGGACAAGGAAGCCACGAGATATAGGATTAAAAAATGAGTGTTGAAATGGTTCAGAATTTTTTTGGGATAAATAAGTCGAGAACCATGCAAGTTAAACAGCTTACTGTTTTCAATTAAAAGGGGGTATTTCTGTCTATTCTTGATACAAAAAATTGGAGAAAAATGACACTCTGAAATTGGGATGGAAAATGTGGTAAGATTTTTGGAATTTTTAGGATTAATTCATGGCAGTAGATGAGGACCGTTAATGAGATTGTTTATTAACATTTAGAAGATGCGGAGATTCGGTAAGAAAAGAAATGGACCATAAGAAGGAAAACTCCAACATTAGTCAGTGGTGTGGGATTAAGAGATTGAAGAATTGCATTAAGTAAGACAGAAACAAACACAAAGAAGGGCAAACAGATTTCGAGGAAGAAAGTATCTAAAGATCTATTGGATGTCAACTGTGACCCAATCTCTGCTTAGGGTAGTTAGCATAAAGTCTTTGCTCTTTGGCAAGTTCTGATTTCTTCGTTGTAGTATTCTTTTAAGGTTCCCACGTGGACTTTTAGTTTCTTAATTTGACATAAAGTTCATATCTGTTAATTCATCTCCTCATCCTCCTCCCCTCTCCTCTCCCCTTCCTTGCCTACGTGCTTATGTGCATGTTATTTTCCCTTTAATTTCATTTTTGGAGTTTTCTCTCAGCATATTAGTTACATTTTCTCAGGTTTGTGCTGCTAAAGGTCCTAGACCAAGGTATCCACGGGTGTGGAAAACCAATAAAAAGATAGGTACCATTTCGAAGTCCTTGAAGCTTGTTGAATGTGTAAGTCCATTTCCTTAACTTTTGGTCTGCAGTGGAAACAAGTATCTGATTTATCAAGTATTGATATTGTGTTTGAGGCTTTATCATGCCGTTTCTTCTGTTTTACAATCGTTTCCTTGTGAGCAAGCACTTAATGGTAAGAAATGAGAACCATCATGTTTTGTAGATTAGAGGATTATCAAATGTTAAAGAGGAAGTATATGGGGCGCTTGATTCTTTCATTGCATGGGAAGTAGAATTTCCATTAATAACAGTGAAGAAAGCTTTAAAAACCCTTGAGAATGAAAAAGAGTGGAAGAGGATAATTCAGGTATGCTTCTGATAGTATTCTTCTCTGTGGCTGGGAAATCTAATAGGCACAAGTGTGATTTAAACTACAAATTTTAGTACAGGTGACAAAGTGGATGTTGAGCAAAGGTCAAGGGAAAACAATGGGAAGCTATTTCAGTTTGCTAAATGCTTTGGCAGAGGATGGAAGGCTTGACGAAGCTGAAGAGCTCTGGAAGAAGTTATTTTCACAGAATTTGGAAAGCATGCCTCGTATTTTCTTTGAAAAAATGATTTCAATTTATTATCACAGGGAAATGCATGAAAAGATGTTTGAGGTATTCTCTCTCTTTTGCCTCATCCATCAGTAAATAGATTTTTATTTCTTGTCTGGTTCTAAGTTCTGAGGAACTTTCTGCTTCTCTCTCATTTCATTACCTGCTGCTCTTTAAATCATTCTAGTTGATGAATTGTCTGTACTTGCAAAATGGTAAGTATATTATTAAGCACACTGCATCCCTCCTCTTTGTAGATATGTTGCGAATCGATTATGCCTTCTAGAAATTCAATTGTATTTAGCATAATACTAGTGCGTCAGCTTCAATACACCTATTTTTGGACAAGGCGAATAGCACTCCATCACATTCAGTAATATCACCCCTAATTTTACTATTATAAGGTGAGACTGTGCATTGCAAACTCAAGGATTGTAGTATTTTAAATATTGTCGAATCTGTCACCTCATCCATTAATGTTGGAGAAACTAATAGGCAATGTTGTTGCTCGGAAAAAGTTCCAATTTTCATGTAGCCAACTCCAAATTTATCAAGAATAGTGCGTAGTTTGTTGTTGTAGTAGCATTATCAGAATTATAAACGTGTCTTCATTGTAGGCGTACTATTTTATTCCCCTTGTTTCACCATTTAGTGCAATTTGAAGTTTTCTAATTTAATTTAAGTTCAAAGAGGTCATCTTATATTGCAAGTGCTTTAAATTTTTCTGTCAAATTTTGTTGAATATAGCGATTATTGAAATTATTTACAGACATTTGCTGACATGGAGGAGCTTGGAATCCGACCGACGATGTCGATTGTTTCAATGGTTGGAGATGTATTTGAGAAGCTGGGTATGATGGACAAATGCCAAAAACTGAAGAAGAAATACCCACTGCCAAAATGGGAATATCGATACTTTAAAGGTAAGCGCGTTAAAGTTAGAGCCAAGTATCTTGAAGAAACTGATAATGCAGATTTAAATAAGGCCGATAAGGAAGCTGAAGTTAATTCATCCGAATCAAATGAGGATGCAGAAGTTAGTTTTCACGAACTCTCTGATGAAAGCAGCCATAGTAATGTTGCTGAAGTATATTCTACTGTACCTTTTGAAACTGTCGACTCCAAAATTGAATGAAGCTCTTGTATGTTATGCTTTAGTTTATTCATTGTTTTCGTGATTTCTTCCTAAGTACTCGAATATGGGGGGAAACCTAAATGCTCCGATATTTATTTCGGATTCGATTAGGTGATGAAAATTACCTTGATATGAGTGCATGCGGGAAGAACAGGTGAACATTTGACGGAATATTTGACGGTTTCCATTAAGTAGGAACCAAAATGCACCTAAATTGCATGCTTGGGATCTGAAAATAAAATTAAATGAGGACTCAGGTGCTCTAAGTGGTTAAGTTTGATGATAACAGCTGCATATGTTTTACCATTAAAAATATTTAAAATCGAATGGAGACTCAAACGTGTTGTGAGGATAGACGCATTGGGAACTCCAAGCCTTATAGCTTACTTATAATAGGGTAACTTTCCATTCAAAAGGCTGCCTGGATAAACCACTTTTGGCTTTGCGTCATACTTGGTCTAACTAAAACTTGGACTTTGATAGGAATTAGGTCCTCGTCAGGAGCCCTCGTATCTGTAAGGGAGACAAGCCTGCCTAAGGACCAAATTGCATTAGATCTTTGAACTTTGCCATTCTATTGGAAATGGACCGTTCCTTTTTGGATCCACCATGATCTTGAACTAATGGTCGTGTGATGATGACATCCAAGCAAGATCAGAGAAGGAGATCAAATCATCATTGAGAGAGTGAAGCCAGATTCTTTTCGATCTTCTACCGTAGTATATCAAACCTATGAATCTCTTTTATTTGTGATTTTGTTTGAATCTAGAAAGAATGCAGAAATAGTAGGCTCCCACGACATCCTACTAGGCACTCCTTGGTTGGTGACACACAAAACTCCCTTCGATGCCGGTAGATGAATTCCAAGACCAAAACCATTGATTCCATTGTTGATAAAATCGCTACTGTGAACTCGGTAGTGACTGTTAGGAGGATAATGGGTCCCTCAACTCTGTATTTTTCTCTTTCATCTTTACTAAAGAAAGGAGTAGCGTCACAGGCAACTTCACTCCGTGCATCCTTTGGTTGTGAGCATCATCATTAGTGAGGCGCTAAGGGAAGGAGGAGGGGGTTGTCTAAGATTCTTTATTTAATACTTCAAGAGGAGGGTGACGATGGAATAGGGTTATATTCGATTTCAATTTTTACACAATCCTATAATTTCTATTAGAATTAAATATTTTTCCAAATAAAAATGAAAGGGAACGCTTACAAACTTAAATTAAATGGGGACTCTTTCAAACGTGCTAATATCTCTGATTCCATTTTTATACAATTCTATAATTTCTGTTAAAGTTAAATATTTTTCCAAATAAATAAAAATCGGTGAGGCGTTAAGGGAAGGAGGGGTGTGTGTGTGAGAGAGAGAGAGATTATTTAATACCTCAGGAAGAGGGTGACGATGAAATAGGGTTATCTTGGATTTCAATTTTAACACTATCCTGTAATTTCTATTAGAATTAAATATTTTTCCAAATAAAAATGAAAAAGAACACTTATAGACTTAAATTAAATGGGGACTCTTTCAAATGTGTTAATATCTTTGATTCACTTTTTATACGATCCTATAATTTCTGTTAAATTTAAATATTTTTCCAAATAAATAAAAATGATAAAAAAAACACGTATACACAATAGCACCAGTCGGGAAACGAACTCGGGTCTGTACTGTGGCAGGATACTATTCTAGTACTAGAGCACTGGTGCTCTTATTTTATGAAAATTAAAACTTACTAAAATTTCTTAGTTGATCCAAGCCTTGACAATTTTTTAAACCAAAGCCGCATGTTTAAAGAAATAAAAATAAAAATCAATGCCTAGATCATCTCACATTTCTATATGAAGTGATGAACATCTCGACGTCCATACAACTAGGCCTAACCAGTAGGTTCAGCTAGTAACACGTACTCATCCAACATAGTCAAAAGATTGATGTGAAATTAATAACAACTAATCAAATCTCAAAAAATTATCGTTTTTGATATACAAAGCACTACTAGACAAGATAATTGGATCATCGACTTTGGATATTCCAATTGAATCATTTCAAGTTTAGGAATGCTTTTATTAAATTAGAAGCTCTAGGACTTATAAATGTAAGTTATTAAATATAAATGAATGCAATGATTTTACGAAATATATAGATAAAAAATAGAGTATAATCAGTTTATAAGCAATTATAAATTTTGTCAAACATGCTTTCAGAAGGCCACACTCGTATCTGCAAGGAAACTAGAAATTAAAAAAAAAATGAAAAAAATCAATTAATCCTACTATATGTGTGATTAATGTTAGTAATTATGAATTTGTTGTTAAAAATAATGTTTGACATTCACTTTAAATTATAAGAAAATCATAATTAAACCTAGTTAAAGAGGTAAAAACTAAAGTATGAGAGGGCATTTTTCAATTACTATAGACTATAATTGACTAATTGATGAAAACATTTAACACTCCCCTTTTTTGTAATGGGAAAAAATATTAACACTTGAAACAAAAAATGAAAGACTAATGGTATGCATAATTTTTTGTGTTTTGCATTTGTTCTTGAGACACTATAGTGACATTATTAAGGGCTCGTTTGGTAGGGATTTTGATAATTAATTTTTTGATCGTTAGAAGAAAAGTGGGGTCCACATGTAAGATAAAAAGTCAAAAATTACGGCTTGAATAGTAAAATAACGGTCAAAAAATTAATTTTTTGGGGCAAAAAATCCCTACCAAATGAGACCTAATTAAATAATAAAAGATGTATTTAATTGCAAAAGGAAAAAATAAATATTTGTTTGTCGAATTGTGGCCTTAAGTGGTGGAGAATTAGGCAACGATGATAGGTTGTGGTCTTGTGGAGGTTTGTGGTGGAGTTGGCGATGAGGAAGATAACTGTATTTTAGTGGTTGAGACGATAAGTGATGGGATTTTGATTCGACAAAGGTAGATTGAACAAGAAGATTTTCATTTTCATTATTATTATTTTTATTATTTTTTTGTCTGTTGATTATTGTTTTATTTTTTTTTTTTAGTTTATTTAATTAGAGGGTAAAGCTTCTTTTAATGTGATATTAACGGCAAAAATGAATGGAAATCACTAATGAGGATGATACGTGCTACTAAATGAAAGAATTATTCTACGTGACGAAATTTTGGGACATCATGAGGATGGATAAAAATTAAATGAGGATGAAATTAATACAAAACGGAAAGTTGGGACTTAGATTGAAATTTACACTAATATTACTGGAGCTGCAAAACACAAATGAGATGAAGTTGAATTAAATTACATTTATGCCCTTTCAAAATTTTCAGCTTTCAACAACTCGGAATTAAAAGCAAAGTCACTTTCCTCTTTGGAAAGCAGAATCGGTATCAGTTTTCCTTTCACTTCTGTAGCTGAAGAAATGTCTGTTGACGCCAAGAGAGATTCTGCCGGTAAATGCTTCGCAATCAGTTTGATTTTTGAAATACTATTAGTTTATCTGTTAATTTTAGCTTTTAATCTATTCTCTGAATTTCTTTTGTAGTAATTTTATCACTAAAATTTCCGTATTTAGTTCAATTCATGGAAAATATTAAACACCCAGTTGAATGTTTGTATTTTAAGCTCGCAGTTCATTCATCATTCATCATTCAGTTATGAATGAATTTAAGTCATTGTATTATGTCAAGTGAAAGTTGAAAGCATTGTGAATTAAATTGGACAGAAAGTTTGGGTTGCAAGTTTGCACTAAAGTAATATGAACTTATCAATTAAAAGTATAAGGGTTTTCAAAACTGCTGTCTATTAGTCCAATATTGGCATCAATGTCCTTAAAAATTGTATTCTCACTGTGGCACTGTGTATAATTTGCATTTGCTACATTCTATATTGAACTGATTTAGTGAAGTGTATAAAGATGTGGATGCGCTGCCTTCTGATTTTCTGTGTTCAAAGCCTGAATTTGAGAAATTGTACTAAAACATTTCGGGCTTCTGGTTTTTGGGTCAGTTTTGATGAACATCTGGGATCGTGTTGTTAATTCATATCTGTTTCTCTATATCTAAAGCTTAAGGTTGCTATCAGATTTAGGAATTCTAAGGGGGAAGGGAAAAAGGAAAAGAAGAAACCTGAATTTGCTTCCTTTTATCTCTCCAATTTTAATAAAATCAAATTTAAATCTTTTTCCCAAAAAAATAAATATGGAATTTTACCACTAATTATGTTAGTAATTTGATTTCTTTGTACATTTTGCAATTCAGGTGAAAGCTTTTGCAGAATTGTTTTCACTCCAAAACAGAGCCTAAACGAAAAATTGGTGATTAACCACATACTCTATCATGTCAATGACAACTTTATTTAGCTCGCCTTACTACTTTAGGGCCATTGGTCGCGTTATCACTTATAACATATGAATGAAATAACTAACGAAAACCAATACAAAACGTTAGAAGGAAAGAGACTAGGTCCTCTGAGAAATAGCATTTAGATTATTCCTATGTGGTGTGTATTATGCATTGTCATTTACCATCATTGTCCTACTTCATTCTTGGTTTCTTTTCTTTCCATTTTAATCAGCTGAAGGAAAACAATTAGATAGTAATTAAATCAATTGAATGAGATATTTCTTTAATTACTTTTTCTTAGAATAAATGATCTTGAAGCAGATGCACTGAGGTACAACATCAGTTCCCCAGACAAGGCAAACATGAATGTTGCATCATTGAGCGTACAACAGAAGCCGTTTGATTTTTTGCGCCTGTTATATGGTATGCTATAATATTATTCTTCACTCGTATTTAAGCCATTTGTTAAAACTATTGTTTTCAAATGCTCTAAAGAAACTTTGCTGCTTCAATGCTTGTCTGCCAAAAGAGTGCAAATGATATCATAAAAGAAAGGCAATACATTTCCTTCTACTCTGATACCCTGGTCTAATGAATATCAATGTGACCATTTTTCGTTAGCTAACATCGATCCAAAAAGAGATAGGATATATAAAAACACGACGAAACTCGAAGGGCTTATGTGAACAAGAAACTTTTATTTCAACAAATAACTTATCACCAACCTTTGGCATTTAATTTTTGCAGTTTGTTAACGCATTTCATACTACGATTTAAAAGGAAACTAAAGACCAGAAAATATTAGGAAAAGTATAGAACTAGCTATAAATATATGAAAACGGATAGAAAACTGCTGCCATGCTCCCTATTTTAGCAGATTTTGACAATGCTACGGATTTGGTAGGCCTAGATGGCCAGCTGGGGTTTACTTAATTGTTGGAGTTCCATTTTCTTTGTGATTTGAGATTTTCTAGATAGAGGGATATATATTTTTCTTGTATTTAGGAAGAAAGGGTGCCGGGTGAGTATGAAACAATAAGGAGCTACGCTCATATATACTAGGAATGCGCTCAGAGAACATGTATTACTACCAAGTATGTGCTGCTGGGTTACATCACCTATACTAATGAGCATACCATTCACAAACATAAGTATCATCATATTTCAATAGTAAATTATGTTCGAGATGGCTTCTTGGTTAGCCTACATCTCTTTCCCTCTTTATGTTTAATGACAATGTTTTACTGGACTCGTCATGGCTTGACCAACCACAAGTATAATAACATGGACAACATATTATACAGCCATCAGAATTATTTGTATTGAATGTTTTCTTTCCTATTAGCAAAAGTGTGAATTATAGCAAGTTTTGTGCATAGAGTTTGTTTAAAGTGCTTTTAGGAAATCCCTGGCACCTTTAGACGATAATAGCAATATATAATATGGGATTAGCGAGACATATTGTGTTTATTGCATATCTAATTATTGGACTTTTGAAGACTGACATATATTGCTGATGCCACTTTCTTATATTATATCGATTCACCGCTCACGTTTATTAATGCTTTGAAAACTGAATGAATGAGTTACACCTTTTACAAGGAGAATACAAGCAACGTATCTTTGTCTTCATGGCTTGAATTCTTACAACCATTTCATACACTTTGTTTAAGTATAAATTTTGTCTTGCTAACCTAATTTGGAAGCAAACCTTTGCCTTCCTCTGTCCTTAAAGATTTTGTTCTGGCTCTTGTAGATGGTGCTGTTGCTGGAGCTGCTGCTGGTGTCGTGGTGGAAACTGTTTTATACCCAATTGATACAATTAAAACTCGACTTCAAGCAGGTTCTTTTCTGTGAATGATTTTTTTTTTTTTGTTTTTTTTCTTCCATGGTTTTCTGTTTCCATCTTGTAATCCTAGATAAATCATCACGTATAACTTCTTGTCCACTTAGAAGCAGACCTGCATACCATCCACTACAATAGTTGTCATGGAATTTTGTTTATGTAACATCAAACTGCATCTTCTGAATCTTTGGTATTGCTATTTTTGAAACTGTTTCTATAGTTTGTTGCGTTAGCACATTATCCAGCTTTCCCCTGTCCTATCACTTTTGAATATTGATGAAGGTTTGAACTTTTAATTTGATGCTGCACTCAACAAAACTATGTTATTTATATCCAGCAATAATGAATGCTCTAGCATTATGTGAAACTGCTTTCATTATGTATTAACAATTATTATGTTATGAATTAGAGTGTTCATAAAGAACTGTTTCATGGTCCCTTGTTAGGCAGTTCGTGGTGGGGGAGAAATTATATTGAAGGGTCTTTACTCTGGATTGTCTGGAAATCTTGTGGGTGTTTTACCGTAAGTTTTTCTTAAATATTATTGCTTCATGAACTTTGATACGCATTGATTGACTTGTGAATTCTATCCAGTTTTCCTGTTAGGTAAACTAAACTGCCTGCCCATTGAGACTTGGTATGCTGTTGAGATTAAATTCCATAGCGTACTTCACCATAAGAAGCGAAATACATATTCAACAAGGCCTCTGGCATTGACTTTGTGCTTCATAATGCTTCCACAAACTAGCAACTCGAGATATTGTTGAATCATTGCTTTGACTTTTGTTTTCTATATATGATACTAGTTGTTAAGGATATTAGAAGACACCAGATGGATATTTAAAGACTAATATAAGAATGAAGATAAAATCCTCTAAAAGCAGTGTTACCAATGTAGTACAGGCTGTTGCATTGTTCAATTATCTTTGTCTTCAAGAAGTCTAGGTTGTGATCTAGAATGTGGGACCATGGAGAGAGCACGGGCAATCGAGGAGTTGGACGACGAACAACCATTTATAAGGAGTTTCTTAAGAAAGAGCATTAAATTGGTGCACCACTAAAACAATAAGCAATAAAACATGTACGTTTATTTAAAGTCAGATTAATCGCACTTGTTTAATTTGCAAGAAAAGGTGGAGTATAACAATAAGATCTCGTTTGGGAGTTTGGTAGCGTTATTTCCCCAAAAAAGACCCCCAATAACATGTTTATTCGGATTTTTGTGAATAAGTGCCTTTATAAAAATGTAGGCTCATATGGAAAATGGAAATAACTGCTTTTGTTGTTTTCTGCACTATTTACATTTTTCAATGGGTGGAGGAATAACCACATTTTTCTGTTCTAAATGATTAAAAGAGGCTCATCGTAATACCTTTTATATTAGAGGACATAGTAGGGCGACCTAATTCATGTGTGAACTTCCTGAAATACACCTATATTGTTTAAACTTTTGCAGTTGAGGGGGGAAAATGTGCAGTTCACACATCCAACGCTGAAAGTATGGTCCTTATGTTGAATAGTCGAATAAAACATTCCTTTTTTAGAGCATTTTCCCTTGTTTGTTTTTATTTGCGTTTTTAGTGTTTTGAACCGAACACAGTGGCAAAAAAATTCGTGTAGCTGAATCCGAATTTATTGAGCATGGGCTTAGTTTGTTGTCATGGGTAGTAGTGGTGGTGATGTTCTATAACTTTTTGAAAATTTAATTTAAAGTTTTGAAATGGTTGGCCTATATGTTGTAAATTGAAGAAGTGTTCGGGTGGAATGTCTTTGAAATATGGTCCGCAGGGAATCAAGTTTATGGTGCACTTAAGTAATCTGTTGAAAGTGATTGGAATATTAGCCACTACGTATTCTGATAGTATCAGACTTATATTACTGCACTAGGAAAATTATAAAGAGCAACTAGAATTTAGTTTTTGTGGTTTTTGGTTACATCCAGATGTTTCTAAATTACTTCTTCCGGAAACTGAGGATAGAAAGAACTTTCAATTTATTCTAGTTGAACTTTAATTGTTTGCAGGGCATCGGCAATATTTGTTGGTGTATATGAACCTGCCAAGCAGAAGTTGCTGAAGAGCCTTCCTGAGAACTTCTCTGCCTTAGCTCATCTGGTAAATGATGCAAAATTGCATGTACTAAAACACAAAAATTTTTTGTTGGGACTCATCTTTGGAAGCATGAAATCTCTATCTTGGAGGTTGGCTTGAAGATGATAATTAGTTCTACGGCTATCATCCTAGCAAAATAATCTTTATTTGAATTTTTTCGTGTTCTACTCCTTCCTTCTATACGGCAAGGTTCACTTGGCATTAAGTTGCTTGAATTGTCTAGTTATATTGAACTCCTAGGTTGATAATCTGGCTATAAACTCCTATTACTTTTAACTCCAGTTTAGCAATATTTTTTCTTTGACCATGGGATTAAAATAGAAAGTTGTCTACCAGGGTTGTGATACAGTTAACTGATTCTTATTATTATTGTTGTTGTCGTCGTAATTTTAACAGGTTTTGTACTTCACTTAGACTGCAGGTGCTGTTGGAGGGGCTGCTTCTTCCATAGTTCGAGTTCCTACTGAAGTAATTACCTTTGTTCCCTTAGTGTTATCTTTTTACGTTATTCCTCAAGCTCATGATGTATATCCCCTACAGGTTGTTAAGCAGAGGATGCAGACAGGACAATTTGCCTCTGCCCCCGATGCTGTTCGTCTTATCATTGCTAAGGAGGGTATTAAAGGCCTTTATGCAGTATGCAATGCTACCTCCTTTAACCAATTTATCAAGGCTAAATTTTTGTTCTAAGAGGCCATCATATTTAAGGCTTGAGCCTTCTTCGTAGAAATGCACTGATAGCATATTATGGACTCATCTGGTCAACTGGAAGTTTTTTAGTTTATTTCTATCTTTTGAAGGTTTTATATCATGTGTTTCTTAACTTTTTTACATGAAATCATAGGGATATGGATCCTTCCTATTGCGAGACTTGCCCTTCGATGCAATTCAGTTCTGCATATATGAGCAGCTTCGAATTGGCTATAGACTATCAGTAAGTTGGTTATCACTGAAAGAACATGGTTATTTTTCTCCATTACTGTGTTTAATTGCAAAGGGTTTTTTAGTTGATTCTTTTCGCTCAAGAGAATCTCCATAATTAATAATTAATTAAAGCATACATCAAATATATATATATATATATATGGAGTATGCTATGTGTACATAAAAATTTGTACATAATGGTGTCCCCCACTCACATGGGTGGGGCCCACCTGAAAAATTGATCCCTATGATCAAAGTTATATACTCTATAATATAGGTCTTATCCATACAAGTAATGGAGAACATACGAAAGCTTTGGAGTATTATTTTCGATCACTAGAATGTACATATATATATATATATCTTGTGAAGCAAATGTCCCGTAATAGTACAAGTGTTCACCTTGAAAATGAAGGTAGCAAGATGTTATTTTTCTTTAATTAGTCAACAAGGCAATGAAGTTGAACTACTGCTATTTTTGTGCCCCAAAAGTGAAAACCACTTGTTATTTTAATGTGCATGATGATTATTCCGCTCAGCGCCAACAAGTGGAGCTCAGCTGAGCAGATCTGTATGCTTGGAAAAATTCTGTGCTAAAGAAATATAGGGGATAGAGCTTAAGCTTGGTTCAAGTATAAAATAATGAAGTTCGGTTGCATCTGAGGACTGAATCTTTGGTTTCTACCTAACACAAATAACAAAAAGTTGAATTTACTGATTGTATTTGCATAAAGGATTATTCTACATGTACATTATGCCCAAGTGGCATTTCATCATTAGTTAATGGAAAAAGCTATTTTTCCACCTGTCTATGATGAAATGCCACGTGGCCATTATGTACATCAAGGTGTACCTGTTGCATAACCCTTGTATAAATGATGGAATATTTGAGTTAGAAACAATTCATTCGATTTTGTAATTAGTGATTGATTAAAGCAGTGTGCTGGATTATGTCACTATGAGCCAACTCTCGAGCTCGAGCTCGGTTAATTGAGTATTCTAGCCAGTCTAAACAAAGTTCAAAATACTTTTGAGCTAGCAGGCTTGCTTGAACCCCATCTATGCATTTCTCTGCTCTTGCGCCTGCATCCCATGACTCTGTCACAAGCTGATACTATAAGTATGAAATTTTGCATCTACAGTGTAATGGATGATCAAAGAAATTGTATTGTGAAAAGATTAAAAAAACCTTACGAACACTTTTGCTGTTTCATGCATTAGCCATATTTCTTAGATTGTGCAGTAAAAGTCTACTAACATTTGTGCTGCAGGCAAGAAGGGATTTGAGTGACCCTGAAAATGCAATGATTGGTGCTTTTGCAGGTAAATAGCTTTTTGATGATTTTCAGATTCATATAAGTTTCTTGTCCTTGGCTTTTCTATTATGGTTTCACACGACTGATGATTGATGCTGTAAAATGTAAGCGGCAGTTGAAGACAGTCTACTGCAGTTAAGAGATCTTTGCTTGTTAGATAACGAGTGAACATTATATGCCTTTACAATCGTAAAGAACAGAACAAGTGTTCTTATTATTGCGATTCACTGGTTATGGCTGTGGTAGCTTATTTCAGATACACAATGCTGCAAAAATATGTGGAGAAACTTCACTCTTCTCTCCACTTGTCATATAAACTATAATTAATCAGAAAATCATGTATGATTAAACCAATTTCTACTTGTAGGTGCTATCACTGGCGCTATAACAACTCCTCTTGATGTGATAAAAACTCGATTGATGGTTCAGGTGCAGTTGATATGGAGTTCATTCCTATCTTTGCTGCATAATATTCTACATAAGAAGTCTTATGTATTGTCCATCCATTTCACCTGCAGGGATCAGCAATGCAGTACAAGGGTATTTTACATTGTGTTAGTACTATCGCAAGAGAAGAAGGTTCCTCTGTCTTTTTTAAGGTGTACCCTTTCTGTTCTACATATTGTGCTTAGTATGTTCAATTCTTCTAAATTGATTAGTCACTTTTACAATTATTCCACTTTATCTCCGTCGGTACGGATACGGCTGCTTGCAACTTCCTCATTTTGTTCATATGACAGAGCCTGAAAATTGACAAATATTTGGCATGAATATTCATCTATTCATTTTCTGATACTTTGTTAGGCTTGTATCCAACTCCATGATATCTGATCGTTTTAGACTGTTGTGTTGCAGGGAATGGGGCCGAGAGTATTATGGATAGGTATTGGTGGTTCTATTTTCTTCGGTGTTCTTGAGAGAACAAAGCTATTGCTCGCCCAGAAGCATCCTCTTGAACAAGGTTCCAATTCTTTGAAGTCAGTGTAACATCAGATATATCCATTCAATGGTATATCAACTCTAAAAACTAAATCATTGGCAAGAAACCATTCCAAGAGCAATGGTTATTTCGAGCTGGATATCTTCATTTTGATAGTATTTTTATTTTTATTTTTATTTTTAACAAAAATGCTTTTAACATTTATTATGTGGTAGGCGTTTACCATCAATAAATAGGGCATAAGAATTGTCCTCTGATTTTATTGCGATTGCATTAGAGCATTTTAATGACAAGCTATGTCATGCTAAGACTTATTTTTTAAAACATCACGAGACAAGTCAGTATAGGATTTTTTATTTTTTTTTAGCTCTCCATTGCAAGAAGATGAATTCACCTTAGAATCTGTAATAATTAGACACAACTGAGAATATTAGGTACTATGCATGAAAAAATAAGGTCGAGTATTTAAGTACATATGTTCTATATGCTAATTTTGAAATGTACAACAATTTTAAAACAAAAGTTTGTCAAACACTTGACTGATTCTTTCCACAATTGATTCTTTCTTCAATGTAGCAAAAATTGATTATTTTAAGACCACTGAATTTAGAGATAAGATGTACTGATTAATAGAAGGTTGGAGATAAAAATGCGATGAAAATAAGTTGGGGATATAAGTGCTATAATGAACAAAAATTGAAAACCTTAAAGGTCTGTTTGATTGCAGAAGTGGAATTTGGGTGGAAAGAAAATGAATTTCAGGGAATTGAATTGATGGGAAAATATTTTCCTGGAAAATGTAAATTATTGTGTTTGATTGGTATAATTTTTCACATGTAAAATGTTTAAATGAAAGTGTTTTTGGATGTCCATTTGATTTTGTTTTATATGAAAATTGTCAATTAAAGGGATATAATTTATTGGTATTGAGAATGAAATTTGTTTCCAATGCCAAAATCCAAAAAAAAAAAAAAAAAAAAAGTTCGAGAAAATCATCTATCTTTGGGTGTTCGTTTGGCTTTGTTTTAAATGAAAATTGTCAATTAAAAGGAAATATTTTTTTACAATAAATCTTAAAATTCATTTTCATTGCTAAAAAAAAAAAAAAAAAAAAAAGGGGACAAAAAA